AATTCAATAGACATGAACACAGAAAATGAACCTTTGAAGTCCATAAAGATGTGCCTTAATCAGCCCACTGAGTGGAATCTGAGTTTTTCAGCAGCATCTCTTGCCAGCTGTAAAGTTTTTAACCAAAATCTCAAAACTGATGAGAACAAATAGATTGCAGCTGTTCTTGCACTATTATTTTGTACATTGTTCCTGTTTTTTTTTTTTGCTGAATAATAAGCATTTATTACATCAATCTTGAAATTATCTTGTGTGATTTGGCTTTATATTACTACTAGCATTATTCATTTTGATGTACTTTTTTTTTTAAATATAAAGTTTCACATCTGACCATCATGAAAATCTTGCAGTACAAATTTATATCAGAATCAGATGTTCCCCTTTAATAGTATTGTGATTTTTCTATGTTCTTTAATTATTATTTCCTGATCTTATTTTTGTGCACGAAAAGTTAATATATTATGTAATTTGTGGCATAGGTCACCATGTAAAGAGTTATGGTAATTACAATTCAAAGAAATCCTGTAACAGGTGGAGACCAGCTACCTCGAAGCAAAGCAGTAAAAAGAAAAGGTCAATTACGTAGTAAAAAGGTAAATTAGCTGAGGAGATCTCCTTCACAAATGGATTGAAATGTATCAACCAACCAGTTTGTTTCTGCAGTATGCTTTCACCTTCATTTATCTCCAGAACTTCTGTGTGCCGGTGTTTAATGCCCGTACGTAATGACTAAAAGAAAGGCCAAGACTGCAGGAGAATCTCCTGAAAGATTGTCATTCAGCGAATTGTATCTGCACTTTTGAGGTTTCTCCTAACTGGTCTTTCTTCCCCTTTTGTTTTGATGAATTTATGCCTGCCACCAATTAAAATGGATGTAAATGCTCTTCCTGTTTTTTCCGTGTACTTTGGAAATTCAATGTAAACATCAAAATTTTGAACTCTACTCAGAGTAGTAGTAAATGGTTGTAGCTGACTACATTGTAGACATTCCATGCTTAGATCAGCTTTAGCAAGGTTCATGTACTTCATTCATCAAAACTTTATTATTAATAGAGCTATAACAAAAGTGTTAGAATAAAATCATATGATATTTCTCTCTTTTCTGGAGTCATACATTCAAAAGCTAGAGTAGAAGTTTCTTAATTCAACTTTTTAATAAGGTGTCTGTCCTTTACTTGCCAAGAACTGATTTGCCAGAAGGAAATTTCTTTGGAAGACACTGTATTTTATAAAGCAAAGGTTTTAAGGATTCACTTACAATTTTCATTAAAGAAAAGATGCAATTCTTCTTTACAGAAGTTTGTTTGGTTTGCAGGTGCAATCCAGTACCTGAAATTAAAAGGTGGTTGTGAATGCTGGTAAGTCTCTCAAGAAGAATCCACAAGGCTATTTAGTCCCTGAATTGTCAGACAGTGCAGAATGTGATTAAAGACTGAATATTCATCACACACCCCACTGTCTAAAGGGTCTTTATGTTTCTCCACTATTTAATTCCCTTGGATTCTATGGGTCAAGAAAGCTAAAAAGAGAATTAAGCTTCCTAGGGGAGCAGCACTGACAGTGACTTCAGAGGAGCCCCACCAAAGCTCGAAGCACAAGAAGTGGTTGGGGCTATCCAAAGAGAGGCAGAAAACCAGCCTTGCAAGCAGTGGAACTAGCGCAGCTGGTATTCGGTTCCTGTGCCTGAAGAAGGTACCACGTGTATTTTCTCATTTCAAAGACAGAGTAAATATCAGACCCTTTCTATTACACACATACCTCTCGCCTCCAAGCAGCTGCCTGGTTTTGTTACCTTTTAACAGCTGTGATCCCTTCCTTTGTGTCCTGGGCTTTCAATTGGCCGATGAGCTCAAAAGTTTTCAGATGGGATGCAGATACAGACATAACCCAAGCTTGTTAACCACTTTGTTAAGTCAGACAACCAACAAGAGAACTAGAAAAAGAGATGATGGTGGGGCAGGACTCGCCCTTCATCCTGAGTTAGTGACCAGCCAAAGGAAACCGTTAACAGAAAAAGTCTTTTAGCTGGTAGGCCTGAAGAGACCGATTAGTCAAGCAAAGCCAATCACAAAACTGATTTTAAGAAACAAAAACTAGTGCAGGAATAAGCAAGGAATAATTTTAGGTTTGAGAACAAATGATCACTGCTACATGGAGTATGTTTGACACTCTGCTGTGTTTAGCCAGCGAAAAGAGACAAGATAGACAGTAACTGGTTTAGAGCAATGAAGAGGTTAGTTTTAAGTCAACTGGAATATTGTGGGGATTAAAATTTTATGCCTTAATTAAGCAGCCAGAGAGTTAGGTACTTTCAACCCAATAAAAATTAGCAGCGTTATTTTAGTGAAAAAGAGTAACGCATACTAAGTTAAGATTCTTTTCCCTGTAGGTAGTAAGATGTTGCCCGGCGTGGCTCCTTACCACCTTTGGATGTCCTCTGTGGCTACCATATGCAACTTTCTCAGGAAGGCAGCTCCATGCATTTAAACCTCAATTGTTGCTAATAATCACCTTTGCAAAATACAAGATACGTCTGATGATCCTATCCTGCAATGAAGTGCTCATCTTTCCTCAACAGTTTTAGCATTTTGCAAGAGCTTACAAATTTTCAATTGAACAGAAAACCCTTCCCTTGAGGGGGAGTAGGGCAGAGGAAGAGCCCAGAGGAGCTGGAAATTACGTGCTGCATGCTGGTCAATTTTCTAGCCTGAAAGAGGATCATGGAGTAATTCAGGCACAGAAGGACTTCAGGTGGCTCTAACATCACACTCAAAGGCAGGGCCAGCCATGAGGTCAGAGCAGGTTGTTCTAGCCTTTCTCTAGCCAGATCTTAAAAACCTCCTAGGACAGAGCCAGCACAGCCTCTCTGGGCAACCTGTTCCAGCTATTCTCAACTCGTTCTGCTCCCTTTTCTCCTTATAATCTGGTCTGTTTCAACTTCTGCCCATTGGTTTTTGTCCTCCCATCATGCACAGCAAAGAGCCTGGTTCTGTCTCAACAGACTCCTTGTAGGTAACTGGGGGGGCCTCATAACGCCCGCAGGCTGAACAAGCCCAGCTCCCTCAGCCTCTCCCCATCAGACAAGCACTCCTGCCCGCTGACCAGCCTGGAGGCCTACCCTGAACCCACCCCAGTTTCTCAATGTCTGTCTTCTACCGAGAGACCCCAGGGAAGCCACTTGCACAGCAGAGACATCCACTCACTGCAGGCTGATTTCAGGGAAACCTGATCTTTACGGTACAGCCTTCTCCCAAGAGATGCAAGAGACAGAACCTGGCAAGGCACAACAGAATGACTCAAAGGCAGACCTGAACATGTTCAATTTGTTCAGGAAAGCATTCTCAAAGAAGCCTTCACAGTTTTTTATTGCTCCTTTTCATAGAAACTCATTTTAACCAAAAATAAAGAGTGGCCTAGCAGCAGCTGTTTAAAGTACATTAGTGGCAGAAGAGCAAACCATTGGTAAGAGTGAGGGTGAGAGAACTTGTAACTGAAATTTAAAAAAATAAAACGTTAAAGCACAAGGTAAGCACTAATCGAAATCAGCTGAGAAAAACTGAAATATATCTGTCACCTTTTTGAACGGTTCAGACACTGCTCAAGGGGACAGACTGTCTCTGATCTCAAGTGGCTGCATATATGCAAACTCACTACAACACATGTTAGAGATTTGAAGGAAAGAATTATCAAAAGAAGGAGCTCAAGACTTCAAAATTCTGTCTAAAATTATGAATAAAAATAATTCATTGCAGTTACATAAGCTTCTGAATAGCAAACATTAGCAGAAAATGGCATTTTGTGGTTTGACAAATTTCCAACAAAAACCAAAAGGGAGGAAAAGCAACACAATCCTGTCCCTTTTCTATACGCAAGCTTGAAAATCGCATAAATATTTGGGCATTACACTTTGGGAGGGCTGCTTTTCACACGTGTCTCTGAGCCATTCCTGAGAATTACCAAAGACCACTTACAGTATATTTACCTGTTTTAAATGCAGTTTCCATAGAAAGGTGCATTCGGCATCCATAGTTGACATGCGCACATTGAGCAATCAATAAGAATTTTCTCCGACTGCCTTGGAAATTATCCATATTGTAACAAAGACACACACAATTGAGAGCATTTCTAAACCAAAAAAACCTACTATTTCCAGAGTGAATCTGCTCAGCCACCAGTGACTACTACTTGCAGATTAAAGTCAATCTCCTATTTTCTCTGTAAAACTCATTCCTAGACATGTCATTAGAAACAGGGTTGTGAACTTCAAAGCTACAAAAACACAACCATGTGCCACTTCAGAAAGACCGTACACAGACCTCAAAGTATTTAATTTTTTTCCTTTCTGTACTTGGGTATTCCTTTCCTTACTGGACCTTATTTCATAACACAAATACTTTTTATGCTTTTCTAAAAGCACATTACCGATTTTATATAACAAAATCAAGATCAGAAGCAGACTTCCAGGCACAGGTTTCTAAAATCAGTAACTCAGTTTTACCACTTTGAGATTATTGAAAATAAAGTTGGCACATACCTGCAGGAAGCAGAATTCACAGTTGAGATTAATGCTAATAAATGACAAAAGTAGGTGCATAAAGGTAGGTCCATTCAAAATTGCTGCCATCACAAGCAATGACTGCAGGTCAAACATTCTCTCTGAATAATGTTAAATATCAAAGCGGCTTTAATTAAGTACTTATTGCCAACAGCAATTTCTATTTGCAGATGGAAACCATTCTTCTCTATAAAATACAAAAAAAATAAATAAACCAAGGTTTGTTCAGGCAGTATTTTAATACACTTTTATTACATGGATGATGGACTTGATATTGGGAAAAGCATCAAAAGCATCTATTTTAAAAAAAAGTTCCTAGAAAAGTCTAGATTCTTAAATGATCATAATATAAAGAGGGTAATATATGACTAATAAAACAAATCTTATTTTTTAGATCTGATGTTCACTACCAGCATTAGCAAGGGACACTTTCTCTCCTTCCCTTTTACTGATCTGCTTCCTTATTCAAAAGTCTTGAAAGATTCATTCGCGTTTTTTCGAGTGCCACTGTCTTCGCTCGTCTTGAAGGCCTTGAACTTGACATTGGGACAGATTCTGGCATTTCATCACCACTGAAATGTAAAATGTTATAAAGTAAGGCCAAAAAGCCTATGCAAACCATAGAGTTTTTTATATTAACAAACTTGAAATGTGGTCTTAGAGAGCAAAAGTACTTTTTAACTTTTATTTTTTGAGAATAATTATTGTTTTCCAAGTGATATATCAGTATCAGTAAAGATAAGCAAGTGTTAGCAGTTACAAAATAAGCAAAACTCCCAAAAGATTAAGTGGCAAAGTAAAACAAACCAAACAGGCACACAGGAGTGACTGGCCCTCGTCACCCTAAAGCCCATGCATTACTTGCTTGAGAAAGTGTGAGCACAGCTGAAAATTACATTTTAATGCTTATATCCTATGAGATCCTAAGGCTTTATGTGTATTCACCTATCAGTCATTTCAAGAAGCTTATCAACTACATGTTGAAAAACAAGAAAAAAAAAAGTAGAGGGAAAGATTTAAAAAAAAAAAAAAAGATTCTTCCACAGAACAGTTATTAAAAAAAGAAAAAAAGTGATTAGAGAAAGAATAATTATGTAAGTCAAAAATCTAACTCTTGTCAGCTGGGATGTATATTAACTCTATGCACAAAAGGTACATTAAAAATAAAATACACGCTCTTTGACAACAATAAAATGTGAAGCTGTCAAACCTACTATTGTTTCAAAAGTATCAGTTCAAGGCAAATTTTTTTTTCAAATATTTATGTGTGTATTAGGACTAGAGGATATTAAAGATGCAGGGTTTGAGATAGAAAAACATTTGAATTAAATTTTCTTGCAAGAATTGACATCATGGTTTAGATGGTGGAGAGAAAAGGATTTACCTCTCACTACTGCATTTTACAGCTGTGCCAGTTTTTCTTCTGCTCACAGACCTCACTTCTGCTGCTGCTTTCTGGTGTCCTAAATATAAGCAAAAGTATCTTTTCATATCATTACACCATTTATTTGCTTTTTTTCTGTTTCTTTCTTTAGTGTTTGATATTGCACTGAAACATCTAAATCTGCAGCCACGGCAGGTAGAATGTGGTGACAAAACAAAACCAAGAACGAGCCCTGCAATGTACCACTGCTCCCCCCAACACCTGTACGTTACTGTGAATGACCACGGCCAAGTTATTTTTTTCTTTTTAAATCTGTGTCATTGGAGGAGGCTAACAACACAAAAAAATCTCCATGAAACAGACTATTTTCATCTTATAACCAATAAAATTTTAAAAAATTACCAGAGTATGAACATTGATTTTTATATCTGTATGTTCACAAAAAGTTAGCATGAAATTATTTTATTAACAACGAGTATAGTAGCCAGAAAAAACTAGTGCATACCTTTGTCACCTTTATTTCTCATGGATTTTGATTTTGCAGTTGCTTTACTTTTAACTTCATGAACTGGAGT